ACAGGATCAATTTCTATGGACAATTAATGCAGGGGTTTGCTTTATGTTTGAATCCGAAGCACCCAGTGGGATTCAAAAATTACATTTTATGTTCAATATGGGCACCCTGTAATGATTTACAATAAAGGTTTGGGCTTTTGTTTTCTTGTTCCTTCATTGAAAAGGTTAGGACTTGCCTTTCCTCCTTGATCACTAACCCAGTGTCCTGGGTGCTTGGGATTCAAAACTAAACTAAAATTTCTTAGTTGTTGAGAAATGTTAAGGTTGAAATAGTAGATCAGGGCACATCTGTGTGGAGAACATCACACCAACTGAGAACCACAAGAGGAGAAGAAGAATGGTAAAGGGAGAATCTCTTCCCTGTTTGTGAATTAAATAGTCCTGTAACACCTTTAGGGTAATACAGAATTAGGATTGGTGTCCTATGCCTGCATGGCTAGAGTTGGGGGGAAAACAGAGCTCCAGATGTGGAGCCAGGAAGACCAAGGTTGAGTTTTCAGCTGTGTTCTGGACCAACAACCACAGTAGCAGTAATACCCACCACATGCACCGATCCCCATCCACCTCAAAGAATGACACATTGTAGTAGAGGGAAAGAGTCAACAGCCAATAAATGCAACAGATAAATAAATTATGTAAATTTATATAAAAGAATAGTAAGTGCAAAAAATAAAAAAGTACATCTATTACGGTAAAAAACGATAATTACTATAGAAAAAAATAGGGGTGCGCCTACTAGTTTATTTATGAAAATTGGCTTAAACATTTTTCAGAAAGCTGTCTCCTGGAAAAACAAGTAGTCTCTTACCTTTATACATTTCCAGGGACAAGATGTGATAACTACTGCTTAACTGAGGATGATATCAAGTCAAAATTTATGCAGCTTTTATACAATGGCAGCTCTCATTCCCAGTAGCACAGAAATTCTCCCAGAAGTTCCCTTATTTTACTATCACAGTTAATCACCTATTTGTGTGTTTCTTTATCTCAGCCTCTCTGTACCTCTGTGTTACATGAAGAGACGAGATGGCATGTTGTTTTCGTAGCTTGATACATACCACAGCCAGAATTCCAGAACACGGTTTACATACTTTACAGCTAAATGTTTAGGCCTCAAGAACAGGAATGAAATACTTTGCTTTCAACACTGCTTCCTTCATGGGAAGGAGAAATCTCACCCCTGGCCCTGGTAAAACATAAGCCCTGGAACAAAGCAGAGGCCTGGTAGAAGGAATTGTTTGCTCTGTTAGCTTAGCTCGAGGCCAAATAGAGGGAATTTGTTATCAAGCCAGGCAGGCGTACTTGAGGGTGCAGGAAGGGAGACTGGCATTTGGGACTGAGTCTCAGGTTGGGTCTATCTTGACCTGGTTTCTTTCAACTGATTAGTCAATCCTGGCTTATTGCTTCTTAAGTCCTAAGAATTTTAGAATTCAGGCAGCCAGTAATGGTTTACAATAAAGAATTGGCACTTCGGGAGGCCGAGGCAGGTGGACCTGAGGTCAGGAGTTTGAGACTAGTCTGGCCAACATGGGGAAACCCCATCTCTACTAAAAATACAAAAATTAGCTGGGTGTGGTGCCAGGTGCCTATAATCCCAGCTACTGGGGAGGCAGAGGCAGGAGAATCGCTTGAACCCGAGAGGGGGAAGTCACAGTGAGCTGAGATCGTGCCACTGCACTCCAGCCTGGGCGACAGAGCGAAACTCTTTCAAAATAAAAAATAAAAATAAAAAGAATTTGGCTTGTGATTTCCTTGTTCCTTCATTGTAAATGTTAGGACATGCCTTTCCTCCTTGATCTCTGTCTATTCCATCCAGCCCTTCCCACCTCCCTCACCCCTTTCCAGCAGGAGTTTCTAATTAAACATGTGCCATGATATACAAAATTCTACTTTTGTCTACTGGGAGTTCTAATTCAACATGAGATTTGGGCAAGGATAAATATACAAACTGTATCACTGCCTTAGAAAACCCTTATCTGTCAGCCAGTGAGGAGTTCTGGTCTTAAGCATGAGCTGCCCAATTCTCCTTGCTTGACACTTTGCAATAAATGCCTCACCTTTTCTTGCTGTAAATCCTGATGTTAGTGTTTGGCTTTGCTGTGGCAGGTAGGTTGGCCCAAGTTCTGTTTGGCAGTATTCTCATCTGGTTCCTCCTGTGCTCAGCACCTGGCAGTGGCTTCCATTTGATGTGGAATAAAAGCCAATGCTCCCCTATGCACCTCTCTGACCTACCTCCAATGGTGCCCTCTCCTTAGCCCCACCTCTCCAGCCACCCTGCCCTCCTGCTGGTTCCTGAACACCTCTGGCATGCTCCCACCTCAGGGATCAGGACATTCCCTGTCAACTGCTGGCCTGGCTAAGGACTCCTCGTGCCTGTTCTCAAGGTAGGGGACTTAGGTTCCAGCCTTTTGTAGGCTCCCTTGCAGCTGTGTCCATCTAGGGTCTGGTCACCTCCAGGGGGCTCCTGTCAGAAACTTGTGATGTGGAGAAGGGAGAAGCCCCATTTCCCTGGAAGAGGAGGGGCCCCCAGACCTGCCCCTCTCAGCCTGGCTGCTGTGAGAATCTCCCTAAGAGAATCTCCCCACTTAAAAAATGTGCTGTCTGGGCCGGCACGGTGGCTTATGCCTGTAATACCAGCACTTTGGGAGTCTGAGTCGGGTGGATCATGAGATCAGGAGTTCAAGACCAACCTGGCCAATATGGTGGAATCCCTGTCTCTACTAAAAATACAAAAAATTAGCTGGGTGTGGTGGCAGGCACCTGGAATCCCAGCTACTCAGGAGGCTGAGGCAGTAGAATCGCTTGAACCTGGGAGGCGGAGGTTGCAGTGAGCCGAGATCCTGCCATTGGACTCCAGCCTGGGCAACAGAGCAAAGCTCTGTCTCAAAAAAAAAAAAAAAAAAAAAAAAAAAAAAAAAAAAAAAAAATTCTCTGGCCTCAACCTAGGCCAAATGAAATTGGAATCTCTGAGGACAGAGCCTGGGTGATGGGTATAGTTTTCAACTTTCTAGATTATTTTAAATACACCCAGTGTTCACATCCAGTGGCCTAGGACAAACGCCTCCTGGGAGAAAAAACACACATGTCCTTCTTCTCCTCCCAAAGGCAGCCAGAAAGGATAAACAAATGAGCAAACAAGGCACTAATTTCTTCATTTCTCAATATCTAAGCCTGTTGTTGAAAAGATGCAGAAAATACCATTTTGCTTACTTCCTTAATTAAATCCTTAGGTTAAAATTTTAGATACGAAGTTACAGGATATTTTTGAGACTTTAAAAAACTCAGTTTCACTAGAAGTGGAAAAGGAGTGATTATTTTAATTCTGGAAATTTTCAGTTTAAAATCTTTGTCCATTGGTAGATGAAAAATAGTTTCTCATGTGTGTAATATGTATTTCTTGAATGTTCCCTATATGCCATTACTCCATTGGACAGTGTTACTTTAATTTGAAAATGTGTTGATCTTCATTGAGATTCAGCATCTCTTCATATACCTGGTAGCTAATTATAATTCCCTTTTTTTTTTTGAGGCAAAGTCTCACTCTGTTGCCCAGGGTGGAGTGCAGTGGCGCGATTTTGGCTCACTGCAACCTCTGCCTCATGGGTTCAAGCGATTCTCCTGCCTCAGCCTCTCAAGTAGCTGGGACTATGAGCATGTGCCACCACACCCAGCTAAGTTTTTGTATTTTTAGTACAGTTGGGGTTTCACCATGTAGCCAGGATGGTCTCGATCTCCTGACCTCATGATCCACCTGCCTTGGCCTTCCAGTTCTTTTGTGTAAAGCTCACTCTAGCTGTGGTAAAAGTGGATGATGGGAAGGGGAGGGGGCCAGAACGGCAGACAGAGATCTGTCCAGAGGCCATTGCAGTGGTGCAGGTATGAGAATTGGGGCCCATGAGAAGGGGTCAGGTTGGGATATATTGCAGTGATGGGGTGAATAGCATTTGCTGATGGATTGCATGTGAACTATGAATGGAATCAATGATTTGGAGGTTTTCAGGCTGAGCAGCTGAGTGGGTGGTGGCCTCATTTTCTGAGCTGGAGAAGGCAGGAGCCTGAAGTATAGTGGCTGGGAGGAGGGGCTGGTGGCTGGTCTTGCTCAGCTGGAAGCTCAGGAGAGCTGGGCCAGGTTTCCAGGCCTGCCTGTCCTAGGGGCTGGGAGAGATGTGCTATGTTGTAGAAGCTGGTTCAGGGGATCAGTCTCTCCCTGCAAGTGAGGAGGGACTCATAGCAGCAGAAGCCTGTTCTTTCCACAGCCTAAGACACTGTCTTTCATATATGTTTTGTGAAGATTTTTCCCTGCTTCTCTGTTTTCTGATTTTTAAAAGTGAATCTTAGAAGCAGTTTTCTTTATTTAAATACATACAAATTACACATTTAAAATAGAACATGGCATGATGAAGAAGTATAAAGATTTGCTAATTTACGTCTATACTCTTGGACTTGTATCATGTTTCCAAATCCTTATAAATATATGTTGCAGTGAACATTTTTGTGTATATGTGTGTGCTTACATATTTGTTAAATTATCCCTTAGGATAGATACATTTCCAGGATTTCAATTGCTGCATCAGAATATAAAAAGTATAAGGTCATTTCGTTGATCCTTTTGTTTTAGTCCCTGATACCTCATGGAATCCAGGGCCAAGTTCAGTCCTCCTCCTACTGCTCCAGACGGCTTCCCTTTCTCCCTCTCCCATCAGGACCCCTAATCTCCCCCATGCCCCCAATGCTCCTTCTCAGAGCCACACTTCCTCTCACTACCAGCCAACCCCTACCCTTCTGGAAGTCCACCAGTCATTTTTTTTATTTTGCCCAGGCTGGAATGCAATGGCATGATCTTGGCTCACTGCAACCTCCGCCTCCCGAGTTCAAGCAATTCTCCTGCCTCAGACTCCTGAGTAGCTGGGATTATAGGCATGCGCCACCATACCCGGCTAATTTTGCATTTGTTAGTAGAGGTGGGGTTTCTCCATGTTGGTCAGGCTGGTGTCGAACTCCTGACCTCAGGTGATCCCCCTGCCTCAGCCTCCCAAAGTGTTGGGATTACAGGTGTGCGCCACTGTGCCTGGCCCCACCAGTATTTTAACACGTCTCTTCTATTTGCACTGAAGCCACCATTGAGGATATTCAGAATTTTGCAGTGGAATCTGGTTAGAAAACTAACAGAGTACTAATAATATTTAGAAGTATTATGTAATAGAGGAAAGGCTATTTGGATCAGAGAGATCTAGCTAAAATGTAAGGAAATTTTAAGCCTGTGGGTATGTGCTTTAAAAATTACCTTGAGCAAGTCATTTATACTCTCTGTGAGCCTCAAGTGCTCAATTAAAATGGATAGAATAATCACCATCTCCTAGGATTTGAATGAGGGGTGCATGAAAAAGCATGTGAAACACACAGGCTCATGTCTGGTGTGCAATAGCCTTTATTTATTTTTGTTTTCTTTCCTTCAATACATTTTCCCTTGCTTGCGTCATCTTAGAAATTATGGCTAAATATTAGAGCTCTTTGTATCCTCAGTAAAAAATGTCATGGACTTAGATAACATTTTACTACAGAGTCGGCTGAGGTTTGTGTTGCTCCTCAAATCTAGGAAGCACATTAGTTAGAGGCTGAATGATAACGCTCTTTTTTCTGAGCCACAGTGGAAAAAACTGGAGGTTTCCTGTATCACTCTGATGGTAGTCTGCTTCCTTCACCAGTGCAATTCCATTATTGCAGTGAAGAAAATGTACAACGATACCTGGATGAAAGGGGACTCCATGGAATGTGAAGTTGTTTGAAATGGTGTGAGTGGCATGCATTAAGATGCCAGGTTTTTATTTCAATTCTCTTCCGCTTGCAAACACTTCGGTAACCTGCAAAGATGCTGGAGCCAGTGGGGGCAGGGAGTCCAGCCAGGAGGTCCAAATGCCGTTTCCACACCAGGATTACTAATGGACATTGTCATCTTCAAACCACTGAGCTTCTTTAATTTTGGGGAGACAACAAAAATGAATCAAAACAATAATGTATTTCTAACCTGTGCGAAAAATGATGTCAGCCAAACCCGGTGTCCTTGAGCCAGGCTGACCTGCCCAACACTCTAAGGGCAGTTGCCAAATAGGCACCTAGCAGTGCGTCAGCTCAGTGGGCTCAGTTTTGGATGCTAAATTCCTATTCTACTCTTGTTGCTCCCGGCTTCTGCCAGGACTTGATCTCACAGTGTCAGCCCTACTTTTGCCTCATGGATTTTGTGTTTGAACTTCGTTTTTCCAACTTTGACACTCAGATGGCCTCCGAACTCAAGCTCTGGCCTCCTTCTTCCTGACTGCTTCGAGTAGACCCAAACCTGTTTTTTGTCCAAGGACAAAATACCTATCTGGGCTCTGGTCATGCTACCTTAGTCACCTAAATATCAGCAATGCTGATTCCTAACCACCCTGACTATTGTCACCAGAAGGTGCCCTGATTATGTTGGGAAGTCTTGCTCCTTGTCTGGGGCCCAAGGCCCTCTTTTGAAGTTTGAAGACCCATCTGTAGGTAGGTAGGTAGGTAGGGTCATCATTTGCTTAGCAGCCAAACCAAAATGTTGCATATTCCTTGTGGTAGGTAGAATGATGATCCCCCAACAATCTCCACATCCCATGCCTCTGAACCTGTGAGTGTATCATGTGACATGGCAAAGGAGAATGGAGGTTGCAGAAGGAATTAAGTTGCTAATCAATTGACCTTATGATTGAGAAATTATTTTGGATTATTGAAGCAAGTCTAATATAATTATTAGGGTCCTTTAAGCTGGAAGAGGGAAGCAGAAGAGGAGGTCAAAGTGAGAGAGAGATTTGAAGATGCTCCACTGCTGGCTTTGAAGATGGGGAAAGGGACCAGAGGGAGGCCTCCAGGAGCTGCAACAAGCAGCGAAAGATTATTCCCTAGAGTCTCCAGGGGGACACAGTCCTACTGACGACTTGATTTATCCCAGGATGATCCATGTCTGACTTCCTGCCTCTAGAGTTGTAAGACAATGTATTTGTATCCTTCAAAGCGACTAAGTGGGTGGCCATGTTATAGCAGTAACAGGAAATTGATGTACTCCTCTACAAAGAACTTCTTCCTATTCAATAATGAATTTTTATAAATGAAACAAAAAATTCATCTTTGAACATGGAAGGTTAAATTGTCACTTAAAATGGCTGGATTACTGAATATAAATTGGTTTCTTTCTAGCCAAAATACTGATGTTTGGAAACCAGAGAGGATCAGCTGCTCCTTCTCTTACTGAGATAGATGGTCAGTAAGAGGAAGTCTCCTTTGATTTTAGACAGAAGCTCTGGGAAGGCCCAATATCTGTTCTGCCTTGATCTTGTCTCTGGTCATCTGATGGCAAGGAAAGGTGAACGCAGAGCAAGCAGTTGGTCCAGAAGACAGTGTGCCCCAGTGCCTGGGCAGCCTGACCTGTCTGCCACCCCAGGCCTCTATAGAGCTCAGAATAGCCCACCCGAAGCTGTCTCCAGACCCCTCTCAGCAGCTTGAGGGAGAGCAAATGACCACACACACAGATGTTTGTTCTAATTCAGAGTGTCCATGTTCTTCCTGCCAAAGAGTCACCTGCTTTTGGACTTGACCCCTGCATGTCCTTGGGGGAGAAGTGGTAATGATGGGAGAGGCCAGAGGAAAATCTAAAGGGGGAGCTGACTCGGGATTCCCATCCTGCCAGTCACCCAGCAACCTCTGCAGGGTGTGCAAAGCCCTGCTCTGCATCTCTGCAGGCAAACTCAGGCTGTAAAATGAATGCAAGGCAGGTGTGGCAATGGGGAAAAGAGGGCAAGGGGAGGAATAACAGTGTAGCTTGATTAAAATGTTAACTCTTAACCTTTTAACAATTCTGACCTGAAAAATATTGACAGCTGATATGGATAAGATACTTTGCAATTTGTTATCTCATTTTATTCTCCACCTATTTTATAGTAAAGCGAACATTTACAATGTATCTTAGTCTATTCAGACTCCTATAACAAATGTACTGTGGACTGGAGGTCCAAAAGAAAAATGTGTATTTCTCACAGTTCTGGAGGCCGGGAAGTCCAAGATCAAGGTACCAGCTGATTCGGTGCCTTCTTCCTGGTTTCCATTTGGCCATCTTCTCACTGTGTCCTCACATGGTAAAAACAGATCAAGAGAGCTGTAAGGGCATGAATCCTATTAATGAGGGCTCCAGGTTCATGATCTAATTACCTTTAAAAAGAGTCATCTCTACCAACAGATTAGGGGTTAGTATTTCAACATATGAATGTTGGGGATACATATTCAGTTCATAACACCATGTGACAGGCAGTATTCTAAAATATTCATGAAAATCTAACTAGATAATAGAGTTTGGTGGCAATTTGGATGGAGTCTGAAGAAGTTATCCTTTACAATATTGCTTTATGGGAAAGAGGCTTGTTCTATAAGAAGAGTGCATGAGGCTTTCCACTAATGACTGCTGGTCTGGCCCAGGCTTCCTAGTTGCTCCTGTCAAGTCAGGGGCTTAGGATGCAGCCCCTTCAGTTCCCACATAGCCATGCCCATCACAGGCAAGGTCACTTGTGGGGGCTCCTTTCAGAAAAGTTCATTGTGGGGAACAACCCTTCTTGCTGTGTGGGTGAGGAAAACCCAGGTCAATCCTTCTCAGTAGACTACTTTGAGAATTCTTTAAGGAGCTTTAAAAGTATCCTTCCCAGGCTCCACCCCAGGCTAGTGAACTCAAGTCAGGGTTGTGAAACATTGGCCTCTCAGAACAAAGGCCTGGAAAACCTTTCTGTGTCACATGACAAAAATCTTTTTCTTAACCCCTGACCCAACTAGAGCTGCAGAAAAAACAAGCAAATGGACACACCAAGACACCAACTGGTTTCTGAAGGTTTCATCTGGTTACATCAAAGATGCAGAAGCTACAACTTTGTGCACATCCTTAGTCAAATTCTTAAACTGAAAATTTAGGTGAAAGTGATTGCTCAAAATATATGGGCATTTCAGAGACTTTTCAGACAAATTTCCTGATAAAAAAACACAGTCTCTCCAGAAGTGGGAAGAGTGCCATTTCTTTGAGCCTTTGCTAATACCATACATTTATACTTAAAAAGTTTTGCCAATTCATAAATGAAAATACAATAAATATTCATTGAGTAATCACTTTTGTGCAAAGCACTACATTGAGCAATGTGTTATTTTAATTTCAAAATGTTTAGTCGCTTGCTGAGATTGAACATCTTTTCAGAAATTCAGTATTTTACACACACACACACACACACACAAACACACACACACACACATTCTATTTGTAAAGCTCACTTTGGCTGTGGCAAGATGATAAATGCACAGTGGGAGGGGACTGGGGGTCCAGAATGGAGATAGGGAGACATGTCCAGAGGCCATTGCAGTGCTGCAGGTGGCATCTTAGGGTGGCTGGGCTGGGTGTGAGAAGTGGAGGTGGTGAGAAGGGGCCACACTTAGGACATGTGGGGGAAAAGCTAATAGTGTTTGTTGATGGATATGGGTTATAAGGGGAAGAGGGGAAACAAGAATGACTTGGAGGTTTTCAGGCTGAGCAACTGAGTGGGTGGTGGCCTCATTTCCTTAGGATGGAATAGGTTAGAGTGGGGAAGGGTGGATCAAGATTTCTTTTAAGTGCAAGATGCCTATTAGACAAGTGGAGATGCTGAATCAGCAGTTGGATTTACAAGCATGGAAATCAGGAGGGATTAGGTTGAGGATACAGATTTGCAGGTCAGAGTACAGATAGTTTCTAAGGCAGTAAGAATGGGTGAGATCTATGAAGACGATGAGAACTGGGGCATGTAATAATTTAAAGTTCTGGGAGAGGAGCAGAATCTAGCAAAGGAGAGAAAATGAACAACTGGGGAGACGAGATCTAATGAGTTTGCTGTCAAAGAAACCTAAGGAAAAAATATTTCAATAGTGTTGGCCAGGCAGGGTGGCTCACACCTGTAATCCCAGCACTTTGGGAGGTGTAAGATGGGTAGATCATTTGAGATCAGGAGTTTGAGACCAGCCTGGCCAACATGGGAAAACCCCGTCTCTACTAAAAATACAAAAATTAACCAGGCATAGTGGCGTGTGCTTGTCATCCCAGCTACTTGGGACACTGAGGTGGGAGAATCACTTGAACTTGGGAGGCAGAAGTTGCAGTGAGCCAAGATCATGCCACTGCACTCCAGCCTGGGTGACAGAGTGAGACTGTCACAAATGTCTCAAGAAGAAAAAGTGTCAACTGTGTTCAGTGAGATGGGGACAAGAAATTGATGTAAACTTTGACCATATGTTTGTTAAGTGCTGTTTTCTTGGTGCAGTGAGGACAGAATCATGATTACAGTGGTTAAAGAGGAAGAGGAGATGGTGACAAATCTCTTGAGGAATTTTGTGTTGAGGGGAACAGATAAGTGGAATAAAATATGTATCTGATCTTGGAATCTGGGAAAGATTCAAAAACGATGTGTTCGTAGGCTCATGGGAATGTTCTTCTCTGTGGGAGAAATGGATGATGCCAGAAGGAGAGGGAATAATGGCAGAACCTTTTACTTATCAGTGAGAAGTCAAGAGAGAATGGGGTATAAACTACAAGGGGAAGGATTATCTTTGGTTTTTCAGGGATATTTCTTAGGCAGTGAAAATAGAATAAGGGGTACAAATGCAGACCAGTTCATGGATTTATTGAAATGGAGTGAGATGTGGACATCCATCTTGCACCCACATATGTTGACTGCTTTGTCTGCAACACTCTAGGTACCTCAAGGCATGGAGATCAACTTGCTCCTCAATACCACTTCCAAGTTATTTCATCTTCAAAAACCTCAGACTAAAGAGTCAAGCTTTTCTCTTATCCACTGCAGCCATCTACTCAACACCCTCCAATGCCCCACACCCCCTTTTTAAATTGCATTTAACATTCGGATCACTGGCTTTCTCTACATGTTGCTCATGTAGAACTTTGGGCAACTCACTGTGTCCACAAGTTATGAGTCCAGTAACCTGTTGCTCCGGATGCTTGATTTCCTCAATTCCAGTGCCCTTGAGGTGAGGTCCACCTCACCCTGCTGATAGTGGTAAGAGGCAGTCAAATTCCCAGGCAGATGGGTTGGGTCCCCAGTGAAATCACACCTTCAAACCAAAGACAGTTCAAAGCCTGAAAGCCAAGCTACAAGTCTTGGACCAGGTTGAGAACCTCTCTTCTTGTTTGGTGTGCTTTCCTCTGATTGAGCCCCACCTTTCACCTATTTTTAATATACCTGCCTTTCCCTAATTGGTTTCTTACACTGTGTTTCTTACCCACTTTTGAGTGGTGCCTTTCTTGCATACTCACAAACCAATCAGCATGTACTCCCGCATTCTGAGCCTGTAAAAGCCCTGGACTCAGCTACACGTGTTGGGGACTGCTATTTTATTTGTATATTTTGTTTCCTTGTTGTTGGATATGTATACTATTTTCAAATCTTTGCAAATATATGTTACAATCAACATTTCTATGTATATATGTATATTTTATTTGCCAAGTTATTACTTAGGGTAAATTTCCATGATCAGAATTACTGGATTGAAATATGGGAAAAGGGCCGGGCACAGTGGCTCATGTCTATAATACCAGCACTTTGGGAGGCCGAGGCAAGCAGATCACCTGAGGTCAGGAGTTTGAGACCAGCCTGGCCAATATGGTGAAACCCAATCTCTATTAAAAATAAAAAATTGCTGGGCGCGGTGGCTCACGCCTGTAATCCCAGCACTTTGGGAGGCCGAGGCGGGTGGATCACGAGGTCAAGAGATCGAGACCATCCTGGTCAACATGGTGAAACCCCGTCTCTACTAAAAATACAAAAAATTAGCTGGGCATGGTGGCACGTGCCTGTAATCCCAGCTACTCAGGAGGCTGAGGCAGGAGAATTGCCTGAACCCAGGAGGCGGAGGTTGCAGTGAGCCGAGATCGCACCATTGCACTCCAGCCTGGGTAACAAGAGCGAAACTCCGTCTCAAAAAAAAAATAAAATAAAATAAAAAAAGATAAAAATAAAAAATTAGCCAGGTGTGGTGGCAGGCATCTGTAATCCTAGTTACTGGGAGGCTGAGGCATGAGAATCACTTGAACCTGGGAGACGGAGGTTGCAGTGAGCCAGCATTGTGCCACTGCACTCCAGACTGGGCCACAGAGTGAGGCTCAGTCAAAAAAAAAAAAATCAAAAAAAAAAAAAAAAAAAAAAGGAAATACGTGTAAGGTTTATAGCCATTTCCATGACCCATTGGTTTTAATTCATAATACATCATCTAACTTGGGAGGAAGTTTAGTTCTCCTTTAATGACTCCAGGCTGCTCCTCTTTCCTTTATCCATCTCCAGATACAGTTCCTCAGTTTCCTCTGACCCCCAAACATTCCTTTTTAGCACCGTATTTCCTCTTACTAACAGCTGTCACTCTTACCCTCCAGAATTTCATTGGTAAATTTAACAGGTCTCTTGGATTTTTGTTGAACCTGCCATGAAGACAATCAGAAGAATTTGTTCCTGAATCTGATTTAAACAGTACAATATTTAGAGGTATCATGTTACAGAGGAAAATATTTGAGAGCTGGAGAAACCTAAATTGAATTTTAGCCTTAGCATTTCCTAGCTAAAAATGCTATAAAATATGTGCAGATGTAGATGTGATATGAAAATTACCTTGAGCAAGTCTTTTATACTCTCTAAGCTTAATGTGTTGAACTATAAAACGACTCTAATGAGAACATTTTCATAGAGTTGATGTGTGAGATAGAGGCAAATGTGAAAATGCCTTCTGGCACATGTCTGGTGTGTGAAAATTATTACTGTTGCTCATTTTTTTTTTCTGTATTCATTGGCTTTTGATCATTTTTGGAACAAATGACCTAATGTAGCTGTTGGTGGTATCATTGCCTGTCAGCCAAAACTCCCAAGAAATACATCTGCAGTGGAACAAATTTGCCTGTGTTACTTGTTGCAACAAAGGAGACCACACACCATAAGGGAATCAGGAAGCATTTCAGGATTTAAACCTGTTACGTGGTTTTGGGGGGTGTTTGAAGAAGCAGAGGACTCTCCTGTGTTGGATACTGTCAGGAAGTAAAATTACATATATGCATGGACAGCTTAATATTTTACCTAGGAAGTAGCAGAAACGGAATGGAACTGAAGATGTAATTGGCAAAAAGGCAATGGCCACTCATGTGAGCTCAGAGAGGAAGAAACTGGATTGCTTTTTTTATAGTATTTCCAGTATTGTTGTGTTTGTACTCAGACGTAACTTCCAAGGAATTTGACTTTTATCCTACTCTATCGTGGTCCCACATTGAATTCATCTGATGTCAGTGTTCTGTGAAATTGTTTATCTTAAGTAGACCATCATGGTCTTGCTGATAGTGCAAGCAGACAGTTTTTGGATATGTTTTTCTTCTAATTCTCACTTTTGGTCAACAGCAGATCAAGTGAGGCCACAGGAAGTTAATCCATGATATTGAGGATTTTCACCATTATTGCGATTCTGCCTGTTGGGAGACCGTCCAGAGAACATTCTTTGTATTTGAACAAGTTAGTACCTCTTATTCCTTTTGTTATCAGATGAGTTGTTGAGTGATCTGGCCATGTGTTTTAGACTCAGTACAAGATGCATCAGTCAAGTGATTTCTGGGCAACTGTGAAAGACAACATGACTATTTATTAGTCTTTCAAGTCCAGGGGACAAGGTGACTAACTCCAGGCCATGGAAACATGAGCCAAAGTCCAAGTGGGTCTGCTCTACGGATCTATGTCATGTACCTTTCTTTCAGTCTAATCACAGACTGTTCCATCTCTCCAATTGTATATATGTTGGTGACACAGGGAGTGTTTACTATAGCATGAATTCCCCTTTAACTAGTAAATTTAACTAGTTTATTTTGGGCCTTCACATTAGAGGGAGTTTGTACTTAAGAGTAATACTGTATGGGGCACAGAACCTATTGAATGACAATCACTTTTACAAAAAAAAAAAAAAAAGAAAAAGAAAA